ATTAAAAGGCTTTAAAGAGGGTTCAAGATTAAGTAAAATAAGTCTTTCCATAACTTTTAAAAAAGGTGAGGTAATAGCAATGGGTCTAAACTTGACAGTAGGTCCACTTGTTGATTTGGGCACTGGAACAACCTTGATATTTTTCCATGAGTCAGGAATAAAACTTTTGGAAAAAGATTCATTGAAAATGTCGGTTAATGGGTAACATAAGATGTCAGCACACTTCTTAAGGATAACAGCAGGAACTCCATCAGGACCAAGGGACTGGGTAGGTTTGAGAGATTGAAGACACTTGAGGACATCATTCGTGTTAAAACATGAAAAGCAGTCATTATTTATACTATTAGATTTGGGAATCATAACATCTGCAGGGATACATATGAAGGATTTATTAAGCATATCAACATCAACGGAAGTATCATTCATTATTTGCTTACCACCTGTGATTTCCTTTAATAGCTTCCACATATTAGATGAGGATTTACATGAAAGAAACTTCTGGTTATAGAGAGCATTTAATCTTTCTAATTCGGCTTTAATCAAAGTGTTTATTCTCTTAACACCAGATTGATTTTTCATTTTGTATAACCTCTCTTTTTGACGGCGAAGCTTTTTGAGTTGAGATGAGGCGAAACGGTCGAACTTTAAGAAGATTGTCTCTTTAGGACAACAAACATCAAGACAGAAATTGAGATAATGTGTTATGTTACTAATTGTGTTGTCAAGAGCTTGTTCAGTAAACAGGTCCCAGTTTGTGTCTTTTAACATTGTCCTTAGATTCTGTATGTTGTCATGTGAATAACATCTGTGTTGTGTTTTCTTTCCAAGGTGGGAGAAGACCCTTTTGTGCAGCTTTCCATATACCTTGGGCAATACTCTTATGATGCAGTGATCAGAGTTAAGTAGTGGGGCTCTTTTCCGAGCTTCAAATATTGCAATGTCATTTGTGAACACAAGATCTAGAATATTATCCATTCGAGTCGGGAAGTTGACAATGTTATCATGACCAAGTGAAATAAGGAAACTGTGATCACTAGAATTGAAATCTCCAGTAACTATAGACAACGAGTTTCCGAAGGAGGTGGCAGCAAAGGAGGTAAATTCATCAGCAAATAAAGACAATTCAGTGGAATTGCATCCAGGCGCAATATAAATGTTCGAGATGTATATGTAGTTATATTTTGACAAATGCTTAGGTCGACATTTGACGGTGAGGCAGTCAATGTTGTCACTAGAGAATTTGAAACATACTTTATTAGATGTACACCATTGTGAATTTATGAAGATGGCGACACCTCCACCACGTTTCTTCCTAGAACTACATCGATCTTGTCTGAATAGTTTGAAATCATGCAGATACACTAGATTGTCATCGTATAGATCATGTAGCCATGTTTCTTGAAGTGATATGATCCCAGTATTTCGATATATAATGGAAGACATAAGTGATTGAAGATAGTTAATCTTGGCTGGCAGGGAGCGACAGTTAGTACTCATGATTGCAGGAACGGTCATAAATTGAATAGGGGTGTTTTTTAAGGCTCTTTGCCACCCGGCGTGATGCTTTTTTTTGTCTTTTTTATGGCATTTCCGATCAGTAGGTTTTAAGGATATTAAATATTCACGAGAATAAATAATCCGATTGGAGGACATATTAGAATAAAATTTAATTGTTTAAAATAAATTGGAAATGAGCAATTAGATGCAATATGATTTGTAATGAATAAGGTATTTGGTAGCCCAAGATTTAAGCAGCGAAGACAACTGTTAATGAAGGTCTGTAGTTTGTTTGAGATGCTCTTTATGACGTGCAGTGCAAGTCTCTGATCCGTATAGTAACACTGACTGACTTCACAATGGAGTTGAAAATCCGGATGCTATTTTTAATGGTGAGTGCTGTTGACCTCCACACAGACTTGAGAGTATTG